TATGTAAGCAGCGATTCTCTCAGCAGTTTGTAGAAGTCAGGCTAGGATGGATAGCCGAGTGTAACTAAAAAAGTTTGCGGACATCTACAGAAAATGCCAGTAGAGATCGCCTGCTGCAGTGCCACCGTACTTATAGAGAACCCGTGGCTGAGTGGTTGGCGATCACGTTTATTGGGATTGCGATGAGTCAGACATATAATGAACCAAGGTAGATTTCGGAGAGATGGTTGCATTAGTGGTGCTGCCTACAGTGTTCCAAGAAATTATAAACCTGTGTTTTTTATTTCAGACATCAGGACTCAATTCGAAGCACAGTACATGTTCAAACGTCGCTCGTCTAATCCTGGAGGTTCGATCTGATTGATCGCGGATTTAGATCATTAGCAAATGAAAATCTCAATTTGTTTAAACCATTCAACAGATAGTAATGAGGGAAATGGAAGCTGATGGTTTCAAAGCAAGAATTCATAGTCATAAACCATACAGGGAGCACATCTATGAAAAAAAACATTTTGAATTCGATCTCATGGTCAAAAGAGTTTTAGAAGTTCTCGGAATGCGAACTAGTAAAACATGTTTTCCCTTAATCCGTGTATTATTCAGACGTTCGGTATTTACTCTGTATATTTGGTCTTTTTAATGAACACGGCAATCAAATATATTGAACGAAAAATCCCAGCATTTGTTCCATTTGTCTGACATTCCTGTTATTATACCTTCCTGAAAGTCATAGCATTTATTTACTGAATACGATAATACACATCTATCTGCGGAACTCAGCTGTGCATGCAAATTGCACAGTGTGCTACCCAAATCGCCGAAATAAAAGGATGCCGGTCTTTGAACTCAACCATAGAGCATACCACCCTTTTGGTTGGGTCAAACAGCAAATGAGCGGGAGGGGTTTCGCCTGAATAAGCATCAAAAGCAAATGTTGTACATAGTTCATTTTAATAAGAAAAGAAAGTAGCTCAATGTAGAATGCGTTTAGTTATTTGGAAGTCTGGACGGTTTCAACCCGACTATGTCAGGGAAACTTAGCTCTGCTCCCATGACTTATGAGTGGTTGACTTTAAAATCTGTTCATAAAATAAACATTGGCACAGACTTTTATCGCCAGGTTAAAGAAATATGCCTTTTTATTGAAACTATTCGCTTTAAATTGCTGATGTTATGAGAGCATAACTCTGACAAATAAATCCTAAAATATATCCTATTCCGAGGCTAGCGACGATATATTTTGAGTTTCAGTTGTTAAGGGTATTAACATGTAAGAAGTCATGACCAAATTTTTCCTTAAGGTAGTAAGTGCTGTCGAAACAAGCGAACTTTCTATGCCATATTTTCTTGCGTTTAAAAGGCGTATAACCTATACGACCACCCTTTTTAAGGGTGTTAGCAATTATATTGAAGTGACTTTCGCCTATGCAAGCCTATTACAAAAATAAAATTGGCGTTTTCGTTTCATCTTGAAAGTCGACGTCCAGAGTTCATGCGGATAATTGCACAACAACAGCAATCAGTAATTGAAAAGTAGCCCTGTAGTCTATATGGCAAGAGCGCCTGACTTAACTGATCTGTAACAGACAGCACAGGATTCCAACACTGAGTTTTCCGTCACCGACGGTGGGCGATGACTGTTTTTTCGAAGTTTAAGTAATCTGCTTAGTCAGAGAATTTCATGCGGAGTTCTATTAGCATTGTCCACGTATTACTAGAGTAAGCCGCAAAAAGAAAATAATGGACGCAATCTATAAGTATTTTCTTGGGGAAGAGAGAGCATTCAAGCGAGTTCAAAATTCGCCACAGGCAAACGTACATCTCGTATTACTTGATGCCTGACGTGATTCCGGATTTCCACTGAAAGTCGCACAATTATATCAGGGTAGATTACTCATATGAAGCACGAATTACCCTTCAACCTAAGTGCGACATTGCAAGTTACATCTTTCCGTGTAGGTCGCATCGCTGTTTTGATCTCACTTTCACGTTATTTTTAACGTGAATATTTAATCTAATGTTACCTAGGCCGTTATCTTTGCAGTATAAGGTATTTGAAGGTTTTGTTATACTGAAAAATCGCCGGTCCGCCTGAGTATGGCCCAGATAGTAACATCGTAAAGCCTGGTCAGTTAACCTGCTTGCGACATTAATTTCGCTTGTCTAATGTATCCCTTGTGCCACTTTTCCTTTTGCCTGGAAGCATTTATTCAGTCGTGACGTCCTTAACATGAGGAGTCATAAGTGACGGGAGATCGAAAGAAATGCCAAAAATACAAAAGTCCTATCTTTGGAAAACGGGGTCTGTCAGAGTGCTAAAGCGCATTGGTGGCAGGAAAAAGACGACGTTAAGACAAGTGGGTAAATTTCAAATTTTTATTATTCAGTTTGTTTTATGCGATCGGTCTGCTCTCCGCTAAGAAGCGGTAGAAAACGTTACGTCAGCTTATTTCTCCCTTATTAAGTCTCTTAGCTGAGTCACCGGTCATCTGAAAAGTAGGCGGCATGGCCTTGAGCTTTTAAATGGCCGCATTCATGACAATGTCATGAATTAAGTGGGCATCGCGTGCACCGATGTCTTATAATAAATTAAACCTTGCGGAGTAAGATAAGTTGAGCTACGTTTTGGTTTCACTAAAGTTAAACAGATAGTGCATTGATTTGGAAGTAAGGGTTGACCATATTATCTGGCCCCGATAATTCGACGTAGCAATAAATGTGACCTATATTGTTGGTTTGCCACGTTGCAGTTTGTGCACACATAACATTTTTTAACCAACTTCGGTTAAAATGTACAACCTGAGCAGGAGAACTGTCCCATGTTTTTTCTTTTTTCAACTTCTCAAGAAGGTCGCTTCACCTATTACGTGAGAGTCTGTAAGGAACCTTATCACGCGGCAGGGCTCAGTGTCAAAAAAGCTGAAGTTTTAATGCAATACATCAACAGTCTCGTTTAATATGAAAGAATAGCGGACTAAGTTATTCTTTTGTGGGGAAATATCGGAAGTTTTGTTTTGCAAAACTTTATTGACTTCAACATTTCACTGCAAGAAGGCCACTGAAAATCAAGTCATTTACCTCCGCATAACAGCGACCAATAGGGGCGAAGAACAAAAAATATACATGTCTAAAATGCGAAAAATAGGTTACGTACAAAAAAATTGCCAGCCACGCTGTGCTCTTTAACAGATTGCCGCTAGGCATTATAAGGGTGGACATATCCAGCAGGTCTATGTTTGACAGTTTTCATCAGCATTGGCATCACTTTGATGATCACTATTTTTACACATCCGTCATTGATGTGCTGATACCTATTCTGTATGAATTTGTTGGAGTCGAAGGGCATTTGACCCTTATTTTGTATGGCGACTGTCTTGTTACATCTAATACTTATCGTTCCTGTTATATGGAAGTGATGTTCGCTGATGGCCTATGCTATTCTTGACTCGCCAGTAGGCAGATGGTTTTACATCGTTATATGCATGTTCGCATGTGTGTCGCAGACATTATTTTAAATAAATGCACTTGATAAACTCTCAGACAAAATGTGAATTTTGTAAACCAAGATTATTTATGCTGATCGAGCAGTTTGACATGGTTCTGGAGCAATGGCTCCAATTAATCCACAGACGGCAATAAATGGACGACGAGCAGGACGGAAGTGGCAGTAAAAATTAAAAGGACAAGAAGATATAGAAGAAGAACGAGGGGAGAAAAAGGCGAAGGAAAAAAGTCGAAAGAATTTCAGAAGAAGAAAAAAGATGGCGAAAGAACATGCGAAGAACTAGAACAAAAATGAAAACGTCAACCTGTCAAAAAACAGAAAAGGGCACAGAGATCGGCAATAAAAATGCTAAAGCACGGAGAACGATGATGTAAGCGTTGAGAAAAAATAGCTGTGCTCCGAAGAAAAGAATAGGAGGATAGATAAAGGCTAAGGTGCAGCAGGAAGAGGAAAATTAGGATGAAGAATGGGGACGAAGAATTGGATAGTGTAGGGAAAAACGATTGAGTGCACTCAAGAAATATCTTAGGAACAGAGAAAACGACAATCATAAAACGAAAGGTATTCTCGTAATACCTGTCTATGAATAAATCCCATATGTTCACACAGTCAGAATCCGGGAGTACACAGCATGAGCGAACACTACCCTAAAGCGAGGCGATGGCAGTTACTTTTCAGAATTCTGTCCCAAGACCATTTCTTCGAAGGATCACACAGGAACTAATCAGAAGTGCGTGACCGTCGTCGTCATAGTTTATTAGTGCTTATTCCAAAAGAAATATGGTTACAGTTATTCTAACTCAAACATAAACATTTCGGGCTGAACAAGCCCACCGTACGTTTAACATTCTCAATCGAGAGATTTTCCGCGGACTGCATCACCGTCTACTTTATAACACGCCGAGTTCACCATAGCAACAGAGGACAATAATCAGTCAGTCTCCGGATGCCCCGTTTATCTTAAGACTAAATCGGATAAAAATGACAACCTAGACGGCCTTTTGGGATACAATTCAGAGCCCGTGATATTACAGCAAACACCCGTTGTGTCACATATGCGGCCGTGTGAGAAGTTACTGTAAGAGAGCAGAAAGGCTCTGACGGAATGCAATTACGTCGGTTGCCTCTTCATGGCAAATGGTACCCTCACATTTTTCCAAACTTGACAGGAAGTCCGGATAAAACCAACCAGCACTGGAAAACAACCAAAAGTTTGGCGGATGCCCGCATGTATGGCCAACTTTTGAGGCGGTGGCACGCATCCTACATCTTTTGGATTTTGGCGAGTTCCACAGGCTAAAAGCTACAACCGAACATTCGATTTTGGGATTAAAGGCCACCCGGCAACTAATCAGAGCAATAAAAATGGCCTGTCAATTCCAGTGCGGATCACAATGAGTGGATCCGCTAGAGAAGCAATAAAACGATTACGCACTGACATAAGGGAAAGCGGCAATATAATAAGGAGAATAGAACGTTTTCTCAGATGACCGGAAAATACGCAGTCTCTCGGCACTCGCAGTGTTCCAGGGCGCTGGGTTTCTCAGTCGAGGGTGATAACAGGGTATAACGAAATGCACTGGAGACCTGGCACATAAAGTGGGCTTATTATTGGTGACTTGTGCGTAAATCAGTTTTTAGTGATACAGGCTTGTGCAGTATCTACCGCACCTTCCCGTTCCTTACCCGCTGATCTCCAATGGCGGGACAATTTCAAAACGGCCTGTACTTGGTTTGGGCGACCGAAAGCGTGTTAGGGCAGAGAACCAGACGAAGTCAGATAGTCCGTCTACGCGTGCCACACACAACATGGCTCCCATGCCCAGTGCTAGGTTTTCATGAAATAGAGAGTGCCTCGTATCTCACTTTCGTGGAGTATCAAAGCTGCTGCATTTAGGAGAAGCCATTAAACGCGACTATCAGTCCATATATACACACAACACTGACTGCAAAAACCGTGTTATCCGTTTGGTTGGCAGTCTTTAGAGCCACGGCTTCCAGCACGTCTTGATAGTTTAACTGGGCGCCAGGCTTATCAGTGTGAGGGACATACTAATGTCTCATGTTAATGAGTCCCTCAGAGCCGGTCCCAGTCACTCTTCTGTCTTGCTTGCACCGACCAACTATTCAAGTCGGCCAGACATCTGGCGGTGGGTTGAACAGTCCCTCCACGCATGCCGCACACGACCGGATTAGCCATCAGGTTACACCAGAGAACGTAATTCCTACTAATATTGGCGGTGTGTGTTTTGCCCGCGTGGCAGTTGTTGTGAGACGGGCTCGTGTGCAGTGCATAGGCCGGTGGGACCATGTCTCTCATGTCTGTACTAGAGAGCATTTGGGCGAAAAGGTCCCACGCGTTGACAGAAGGCCCTTTACGATGCGAGCAGGTAAATTGAGTGCAAGCGACAGAGATTATTTTTTCCTGCAACAGTACGCCAGTCTGATTCCGGTGCACTCGCAAGTGCGCGATTAAGTCGATATACAACATAAATGTACGAGGGTAGTGGGAACAGAGTATGATTGTGTTAGTGAGCTGGCGGTGTGACAGTGCTACTTTAAGTGAAGGTGGTAAAGGGGTTTTTAGCTGCAGGAGGTCGGTTTCGCGTGATGGCATTGAGGTAAATTCCCTGTCATATATGCACACACAGAAACTCAAGCCCGTTCGCCGTCAGAATGTCCTGGGGCATTGTAACCTCATAAGATGATTAGTATGCTGGTAAGATGTAAGAAGGGTTGGCCGTGTTTCGTTGCAATGTGCCCGTAAAATTTCGACGAGGACGATCTGTGCTTGAAAAATCCGCGGACAATGTGAACACGACGTCAGGTGTCGAGTACTGATGTCACTACTTCGTAGCACCTGAGAATTGCGGGCTTCGCTCGTTGCAGTAACAAAAACTGTTTGTTTGGTCTTGAAGACAGCTACTCCTATCTTTAAGATACTGCGCTACGCCAGTTGGTCTTGACTTAGGTACCTTCACTTTTCTGGATTGATTTCCAGATGCTTGAGCATGATCTTCAAGGTTTTCGTGTAGCGACATATCCTATGTGGGTTAGCGCGCAGTCATCCGCGCCAAGTGGATCGTGAGCGCTGCCCTTTGATACTCTACAAGGTACCTTCAGACGACGACCTTGAACAATTTTCCATCGGTTCACTAATTCATGCCGACCAGTGACCGCTCCTTACGGTAGGGGCCTATCAACATGGTGAAGTATATGAGGCTGAGTAGAATGAGAGTGCGTATGCAGCCTTGCTTTACCCCATCTGTCATTATGAATGGTTCAGAAACTTCCCGTTGTCCAGGACGCGAGGCATCGATCGTCGTGAGGTTGACGTACTATTTGAATCCGTTGCCAACGGCATTCGAATTTCAGCATGTTCTCCAGCTTTTGTCGCAATTCACTTTGTTGAAGATCTTCGTCGGATTGGCGAAGGCGATGAAGTGGTTTTTCCTCATTTTCTGACGCCCTTCCTTCAGTTGGCATATATGAAAATCCAACCTTTTGTTTTGCGGTGTTCTGGGATCCTGATAAATGTTCAACCGATTGAGCAGAACACGGACGAAGATTTTCCTATGGTGTTGAGAAGGGAGATGCCTCTGTGGTTATCCCAAGTTGCCGATTCCTCTCGTGTATGTAGCTGTGCACGATGAGGGCTCTCCTGAAGCCCTGAAAGATGAGTTCTTTTATCCACATCTACTGGAAGGCGAGGCTAGCTTTTCATGAGTAGCGGACCATCATAATTGCACACTTTAACAAAAATGGCGTCTGTTCCTCATGCTTTTCCACTAAGCAACCGTTGTACTGCTCTGCTTATCTGATGGAGAGAAGGCTGATTCTCGAGGCGGTCGATGGTGTCCAATTGAGGAAGTTGGTTAATGGTTTCTTCGCATAATGTGACCGGGTGGTTATAGGCGACCTGGGGGTGTGCAAGTCAACGCTCCGGGATCTGTGGCTTCTGCGTCAGAAGCTTTGTTCCATCCTGGCTCGACAGTTGTTCAGTCTCTTTGACCTGTTGTCCGTACACTGTTTTGATGCCAATGAAGAAATTCTGCATTTCACCACTGTCTAAATTTCCCGTATATTCCTAGCTTTGCAAGTAAGTTAGTCGTTTTGAAACTCCCTCAGCTTTCGTTATGCTAGCCGTTGGTACAGAAGGTATATGACTTTATTCGCGTTGTTGTTGTCAATGGTATTAACTGCATGTAGAAAGTCTTTCTCGGGTGCTGAGTGCTGATTACTTCGTCCTTGTCATCAAACCCATTCTAGTGCTAGCAGTTTGCGCGACCGACGGTTTTTATCGTGGTGGCCTAAACTATATCCGCCAACTCCCTCAAATGGGTTTTGACATGTTTATGGACCTCCAGGATTTGCCTTTTTCCAACCTGGAATTCATGCACCTGTTAAGATACAACTGGCGTTAAGTTGTATCAAGTAATCCAGTATTTAAATTATTCGATGTCGATTTCTCTCTCGGTGGCCAGCAGGATTGCATTTGGAGGCTTATTTTCGAGATGGCAAGTCGGTGATCTATCCGGTAGTTATCATGCCGTGTTAGTTAGAGTTTAAAACCAAGACGTAGTCCAGCAGAGGCCAGCGACATAAGCGATGGTTTATCCACGTCGTCTTCTTCCACATCGGAAAACGGAAGATTATTGTCAAAAGAACATTATATTTCGTTCGGTCGTGCAGGCAGAGGATAACATTGCTGTTGTAGGTACCGATCTCCTGGCGACCAGAAACTCCTTTTTAGGCACCATGGTCAGTCCACACACGAACATTGTGGTCCCTAGTGACAGTCAGTATACCGATGTCGATACAGTTGCTATGAGTGCGTACACGTCTTCGTAGAACTTGTTTCCCACGTCGTCAGAGTTTGTCTTTGAGGAGGTATAGATGGTGACGATCGCGGTGAATATTTTGCCTCACAATGGCAGTCTCATGATCGTGAGCAGATCATTGAAATCCTGTGGTAAGTAACTCATTTATCGCTCGACGTCGTTCCTGATGCCAAAGGAGACCCTGGCATCGCTTCGACCTATCCTTGGACGTCTGCCCCGAAAAAGGGTACCTAGCGCCCGCATCGTCAAATTGACAGTTATCAGAGAAGCCGGTCTCACTGGAAACTACAATGCCCTCGTTGCATCCGGCAAATTCGCGGACAGTTGTAGCCGTCCTTCTTTTTGGACGGTTTATCCTCAGATTGTCTAAAACGGAAAGTATAATCCAGACTGGCAGTGTGAGAAGTATCACTCTGGCAGTCTGTTCAGAAGCAGAGGAATGAGGACAAAGGCTGTTGTTTTTTGTACTTTTTCGATCGCAATTTCCGATTCCGCTATCTAGAGTTAACTGGTCGACCGCATATTTTGCCATCGAATTTAGGGCGCCACGTCTAGTCCCTGAGGTGGAATAAGTTGTTCTATCCCTAAATAGGGCTGTTTAGGAAACCAGGTGGCTGTCTAATTCCTACGTTGCTAACGATTTTTATTAATTGGGAAGACGACGCTAGTAAGCCAGCACGGACTATGGGATTGCATGTCGCGCTCTCTGTAGGACCCATTTTAATTAGAGTGGGACGAGATTTTTGGAATTAGTTCGACGACTATCGGATATAAAAATAAACTGCAGTTTGACCATCTTGACTCACGGTGTCCACCGTGTGCTCTACAGCAAGCTGGGAGCAGGCACAGTGAATTGCGAGTGATTTCTTTTAAGGCGATAGTAGATTTGTGCAGCACCTGTCGTATTCTCTTTTCCTCCCCACCGGAGGCAGTTGTCAAGATGGCGCGGCCGGAGCCACCCATAGGCGTGCCGTTACATTTAACTCGGATCATACGAAGTGGGAATGCCATAGAGGCCACATTAAGAAAGAGCCATTGCAGCCTAATTGACAGTGCGTCAGTCGGTCACTCCGAACAAAAACACATTGGGTTGACTGCGAGGTCCAAGTTTGCTAATAAGTTCGCAACTTTCCAAGTAATGGTTTTTAACGCGCCGTGATGGCTTCAAACGCGTCAGATTGTTTGTAGTAATAAAAATGCGCCGAGTCACCGACCTCATTATCTATTCCCGTTCCTAGGGCCCAGCCACTGTCCGAGCCGGTCACTTGTCTGGTGCGGGGAAAAGGCATAGTGGCGGCCAGATCTGTTGAACTTACCTGCGCGTGACACATGTATGACCTGCTCCCCCCTCCCCCAAACTCACACCAGTATTTCACAAAAAAGGCGGATCTTACATGCAGCAGAGGAACCACAGGGAGAAATGGGGTGAGAAGCACACTTTCCCTTGCGTGAGAGATGTCGGCGATGTGGGATTTCGGAGGGGTGAAGGCATGGTGCATGTGTTGATGGGGAAATCTGTGATGATGTGGTCGTATCTGTGGTGATTTATCGTAGTTTTTCATGGATGTGCATGTGACCAAGGAAGTCCATTGGTGCTCGAAAGTCCGAGGGCGATGACGACAGGTAAGGCAATTTCGGAGTGTATGTTGCTGCCCTAGGCACTGGTTCGCTAATCTCTGTGCGCTGGGTTCACATTTGACTGACCAGATCGATGCTTGAAGTGAATGCGTGGTGGCAGTGTGGGCAGGATAGATCGAGAGCCGCAGAGTCAGCTTCGATGGTGTTGGTGCTGCCGCCGCTACTGCTAGTTGTAGGCGCGATGGGCGATGCGGTGTGGAATGGGCTGGGCATGATGGGTATAAAAAGTGTGCTAGGTTTGGATACTGCAGTGATTTCCGTTGTCGTGGAGATGCATGTGACTGAATAGGCCTATTCGGTGAATGAATATGCGGCGTCACAGAGGGTAGGTGTTGGGGCATGTTAGTGCTCCAGACATTGATTTACCAGTCCCTGCGCGATGGGTTCGCGAGTGACGGACTAGGCCAATTCGTGAGGTGAATGTGCAATTGCGATGACGACAGGTTGGGGCTGAGTCCGCAACACTGGGGGTGGGGGTTTCGATGGTGATGGTAGTAGATGATGGGAGGTCGGGCGTCGTCTCATTGGTGGGATGGAGTGCGAGAGGTTGTGGTGTTGGCGGAGCTGATTGCTGTGGTCGACGCAAAGTTTGGGGCAGTGGGAATGATGACAGCGATCGATGGCGGCGGGGCGTCGGCAGTGTGGTCATTGGTGACGTGGCGTTTGAGGCAGGGGTGACAGTGGGGGTGTTAGCAGAAGGAGAAATTGATACCGCCGGATTGTTGTTGTATTGCTCTCGAAGGTGTCTTACAAAGCCAAGCCGGGCGCGGAATATGCGTTGGCAGCGGAAACATGCTGGATGCGGCTGGCTGTTAGCATTCTGGAGTAGAGGCATTTGTGATTTACGAGCGGCCCTCTTGGTTTCAGTGGCTGCGATCCGGTTTGCTTCGCAGATTGCTGTTCCAGTCTTAACTGCAGCTCTCCAGGCTGGCCGGTTTTGTGCGAGATCTTCCCAAGTCTTCAGGTTAATATGCAGACCCTTCATGGAGTTTTTCAAGGTATTCTTGTAGCGGCGTGTTTGACCTCCTTTGCAACGAAAACCCTTGGCGGCATTATAATAGACGAATTTTTGGTCAACGTGTATCTCCTATCCTCACAAGATGGCCTCACCAACGTAGCTTCAGTCGCCTCAGCATGACATGGATGCGAGGAGTCCTGTCTGCTCCAGAACTTCCGTGTCCGGAATCCTATCTTGATCAATCAGCTTGATTATCCATCGGAGACAACTTAGGTGGGAACGATTGGGCTTCTGCGCTTCTTTCACGTAGACTTCCCACGTAGATTCCGTCAAAATGACAGATATATACATTGCTAATAGAAGCGAAGATGCGCGTCCCCGGACATAAATCAGAAGAAAAGGCGATCTCGGGAACCATAGTTTTACCGTCCTGACGTTATCGCGCCCCACAGTATTTATAGGTGGGTGACAGTCATGCCAAGACGGGCTTTTTTCTCACATACGAGGTCAGGGTGGCAGGGCGGAAGGGGCGGGGAGGGACTCCTAGAGCGTCTTCTCGCCGGATGAATGGGGGGGGGGCGGTGGATCAGCTTTAGTGGTCAATAGCGCCTGCACACAGGGGCTATGGCGGACGGGGGGGAGGGAGGGTGACGGGAAGCGCTCAATCTACATGGGGGGCCGGCGTTGAGACGTTGGTGGTCGTCGCCCGTACCTTCATCGATCTTAACTGTCGTCCAAGGCTGGCAATCTTGTTTACGCCGCAACGACTGTCCGTTTTCTCGTCCGCCGGACTAGTAGATGGAACGGCTGTGGTGACGACTGCGCCTTCGTCGTAAAAACTATGGTTCCTGAGATCGCCTTTTCTTCTGAGATATGTACATTTATAGCTTCGTGTTGAGACGAAGGTCGTGGCGATTCCACACGGCGTTTTGCAGCCGGTCGAAGGCTTGGCTAGCTTTGGAGATCCGGTAGGCCACTTCATCATCCATTTTTATGCAGCGAGAGAGTGAGCTACCTAGTAGGTGAAATTATCCACGGCTTGCAGTTGGGCGTCATTTACGTTGATTTGGTGTGCATTGCGGGCAGCTTCGGTTGGCGGTTGATGCATAACCACCGTTTTCTCTTTGTTGTTGCAGGTGGTGGCGAAGAAGCCATGCCCCTTTGCATGTCCACTTCTGTAATTGCGTCGAGAGCGCAGCCGTCGGCAGATGGACGGTAGTCGTGGATACGCGCGACTGGCAGTGTATCCGCTGGTGATTGAGGAGTCGGTCGTCCGTGACTTGTGACTTTTGTATTGTCGCCGTCGCCGGAGGGATCGTCCTCTTTGTATTCAATGTCCCGAACCGTCACATATGCATAGGTAAAATTCAAGACATTATCAAGACCGGCTAGAGCAGGCATGGCCAGAGCTTTAGCAAGTGAGAAAGCAGACGTAGAAAATAGCTAATACTACACTTAGCCCTAGTTTATAACTTAAGGACTCCACTTTACCCCACAATCAGTGCTAGAAGGTTTCAGCATGGATAAGCGATCGCCCCCGGAGTTGCCCCCTAAAACAAACTCGCTATCGGGACATAATTCATAAGTATCTGAAAAGCTACGCATTTAGTGTATCTTTGTGCCCCGGCTGCTCCTCTGCAAGCGTTATGGTGGGTTATGTGCAGAGCAAAACAGGCTATTGAATTATTAATGGCGCGTTTCATCACGACAAGTCCGTTTTTGCCTTGTTGGAAGTATGATCACTCGTCAAGCAAATCAGTGCAAACGATGCGTCATGCTTAAGTTCCTTCGAGTTATATCAGGCCACAGCATTTCATCCGCACCCCACAAAGCGAAACGGTAGGAATCACGCTGCAACACTGTGCCCATCGGAGCAGTCTCCAAATAAACTGAGGAATCATATGAGGGAATCACAGTTACTTGACACACTTCTAGTGAACTTGGAATAACACACAAACCTCATGTTCTTTTGCAATACCAAAAAAGCTCTGCAAATTTCAAAAGCCAGCAGTAACTCTAATAATTTTGCATACTTTACGTCGTACGAGAGTATGTGAAGAAGAAAGCATTCACATCGACCTAAAGCAAAACCCCCGATCGGTTAGAAAGACTGGTCGCGAAGCAACGGTTTGGGAAATTACAGAGGTGGGATGAATACTGCCAAAGGTCGGCAACATGGTCAAAACTGTCGCTGATCTGATGCGGTTTCTTCCATGTGGTACAATCCACAAACTTGAAACAACAATATCGGGCCGTAGTAATGGGACATAAGACTCTCCTTTCCAGAGACGAGACTCCAAAGCTATTCACGTGAAAAGAGTTGCGTCGCAGATACCTATAGGGGATCCCGAACATATGTGAAGAATAATGTGGCTTCGAGAAGTACTAAGCAGTCGACCTTGGCTGTGGGAAATTTTACGCCGCCTGGCATATATTGTTCTTTAAGCATCTGACTGCTTTTAATCGAATTTGATGTGTTCTGGCATCCTTTAATAGCTGTGCGGCCCTGCTATTGCTGTTGAAAGTCCATGAGCTCATTTTTCAAACTCAAAATGCAATGCTCAAGCCCCATGAATAACATACTCAGATCAGATACCGAAACTGGCCATAATAGCTAGTCTATTAGGAAGCTCCATGTGCATTGATAATATTGTCGAAATTCGCGGCAGTCAGCTAGATCTTCTACCGGTGCGATAAATTTGGTATTTTAAGAGAAACCATTTCAATTATTTATCGATTTAGTCTATTGCACAATGTCAGACATCATTCCTAAAATCAAACTATCTATCCAAAAATCAGTAAGGACAATGTATCAGCACAAACAGGAGCATTGAAAACTTCATTTCGTTCTAATCGTTTTTAAATGAAGGAATCGAGGTCATAGTAAAATGTAAGAACAATGGGATAGCTTTGTCTCTTACTTCATGCTTACTTAAACAAAAGATTTAGTATGTTAGATAGTCATTTATCCCACCTGTACATGCTTATGCTTGTGAGCGAATAAACGCATATCATTCATGGGATGTGCTATTTTACTTATTTGGGATGCATTGCGCAATCACACATGCCAGGCACCAATGGCTTATATCCGGCTTCTGTGGGCAATTGAGCATTATGTTCCAAAGCTCTATCCAGTTAACCTACCAAGCCTGCCTTCTGCCTGATGAACTAGTGAATGTGTGAATTCAATTGAGAGATATGGTTACCGAGTCATGCAGTTACGGCACTTAAGTGGCCATTTCCGGAGTGCCTTCATTTATCATTAATCGAAAAAGCAACACATATATCCACTTCCGTCAAATAGACAGGAGAACCCACCGAATGTCGATGTCTTATGATTTTAGGAACAGTTAGCGTTACCTGGCTCTACTTGCAGTACTAGAAGTGTGCTATCTGTGGACAGGACAGTCGGTTGCGTAGTGAGTAAATATGTCTGCTTGCTTAATAATGTCATCAATAAATCTTTTTGTATTCTAGCATCAGATTGTTAAGTACTTTCCCAGGTGGACAGTTGTATGTTCATATAATGGCATGTATTACACTCCTTACAAATGAAGTTATTTGCAGTTTATGGGACGGAGATCCTTTTGAAGATATTTGAACTCTAAAAAGTAGATAGGGCGCGGTTTATAATGGTATGCAGAGAAATTGGAAGAAAATGAAGATTAATAAAGCAGGAGTGAAAGTTATATGACCCTTCGTTAAAAATGAGCACTGGAAGCCTTTAGAACTGTTCCGTACTGGTGTTGAATGTCAGCGAAATCGTCTGTTAGAAGCCATATTTTGTCATCTTGAAATTGAGTATATACTTGTAAGTTGGCGTGATCGAAAGCCAGAGAGTCTCAAATAGATTTTTTCCACGAGTTAGGGTCAAAAATCTGCGTCGCAGCAACAGATATTCTGCAAACAATTTACTCCAAGTGAGGTCAGGTTTTCTGGTTGACTGTCTTTTGGAAGCGTTGAAAGATCATCACCTGTATGTTTCTTATCAAGTTTCACTAATCATTTGTTTCACAGTGATCGTCTAGCCTACGTTTTCAAGGCACTTTATCTCCACGTATTTCAATCAATCATAAGTGGCGATTGGCTGAGATCTTTTAGCGGTATGTGTGCATCTGGTGCAAGCAAAAACCGTTTGTGGCCGAATTAATTAGCAAGTGAAATAACTCTTAAATTCAAAAATTTACTTCTGTTCTCTCCTTTGTACCACAATTGTTAGGGAGCAGTAGTCCGAAGATCGGGAATCCGCTTTGACGAGCGGCATCCTAAAGGATTTTATATGACTTTTTAGACGAGTGGTTCATTTGGTAACTCCAACGTCATACTAAGTCTACACCTTTGATTCACGTCCCCAAACTTCACCTATATGAATTCCACGCACTCACAGAGGTTTATTTTTCCTCTTTTAATTGCCAATTGAAGTACCTAGTCCAATCTTACCGCAGATCATCTGGATCACCATACACTGTTAAAGCATGCTGGTGCCTGTAAATATGTTTACGTTTTGTGCGTTCCACAAATAGTCTGCTCTGCCGTTTTTACCTTCAGCGTAGTCATCTGAAGGCATGCTTGGTAAGTAAGTAGCATATTATTGTAATTACTCGAGATCTATTTCCAATTTATTTTCCCTTAGACGAAGCAGTCTTTTGACCGACCGAACTCGATTTCTACAGTACTTTCAAGAAACTGTCTACGTGCCATTATTCACCATATGTCATTCTGCTTTCCTCCATGTAAGTCTAGTCAATCTCATTCTCTGTTTGTTTCTGTACGTGACAGGACATCTGACATATTACAACAACATTTACAGGGCCAAAGTGGTAACAAGAATGAAAAGCGAAAGATGAAATGAGAACGGGAACAATAACGGGGATGATAATGATAATGATCGTAAGAAAAAAAGAGGACGGGAAGAAATGATGGAGATGACGGTGATGACGACAACGACAATGACGATGACGATGAGGATGATGATGCTGATGATGATGATGATGATGATGATGATGATGATGATGATGATGATGATGATGATGATGATGATGATGATGATGATGATGATGATGATGATGATGATGATGATGATGATGATGATGATGATGATGATGATGATGATGATGATGATGATGATGATGATCAACTTAGCCAAGGAAACGTTGAATTAGCCTTCGATAAAAATTAAAATCACAAATTATTTCGTCCAAAAATGCAGCTGCCGTCCTTGTCCTCGGACTAATTGTTGACACGCAGCATCATCCTCTTGATTTTCGAGCCTCCGCTTTATGACTGTTTGCATTTGTAGCACACTCATCCTAATCATTCCTTGAAATTAATCTGACCGTTCTCCGTTTGCGCACTGTAGGAGCCAAAAGTCACAGATCATCAGGTACAACTCTTCGATAAGCCATCCACTGAAAAAAATGTCGTTTGGAATTAGTGGTGCTGGCGAGCACGGTGGGTAGTCCCCAGAAAATTCATTTACCTCGTCCTGCGGGCGCTCCAAACGGAAATGTCTTGACGGCCCAGGACGATCTCAGCGAGCCAGTCTCTAGGGTCTGATTAGGTTATGCGTCTTCTCTTGATTTCCAACGTCTATATACAGACAGGCAGAAATGCGAAAAATAACTGACAAAGTGCTTTCACAATTGCGAAAATTGCAACGACAGTATTTAGAAGACCAGTTGGCAAGAAAACGCTTGCTTTTGACAAATTTTTACACTCCATTATATCTATATGAGAACGGAGTTGAGCAAAACATGTCCGTGTCGAAGTAAACCGATTAAAGTTCGTCTTAAGGCACGGACCGCTTATGGAGATAAGGAGGGGGTGGGAGTAAAAGTGCGCTGACAGTTGCACTCACTTAGGCTGACCACGGCATGCGCGAAGATTGAACTAGGTTCTTCTGCGCGCGCAAGACCGGCTTTCGTAACCTGATAGCGCCCCTTTCTGCTGCTGCTAACAGAAGCTTGCCTAGTGGCTAAAAGTAGCGAACAGGCGAGTCCCAGGTAGCAGTTCAGAAGATGAAGATGCGATCACTGGGACAGTGATCGCATCTTCATCTTCTGGCTAAAAGTAGCTAGACAGAAACCTTTTAATCACATAAAAAGCTTCATAGAGGTCCATTTGGTGCCCGGAGGCAACAGCATGTGCCAAAATGCCCTGTTTATGCCTCTAAATTCGCTTTTTGCCAGACATGACGGGAGGTATTCTTGTTTTTCCTTTGCTATTCGTCGACTCGTGCTACCAATATAGCCTAATCCACGTGACCAAGAGACAGAGAGTAAGTTCACATTAAGATGGTATGAGATGGCAAACTAGCCTTGTCTTCGCCGTGTAAAATAGGGTTACTATGAAGTAATATTTGAAAGCTTGCTGTTACGAAGGTTCTTTAGACATCTTGATCAAGGCCTCGTCTTATGGATTCGCTTGCATCGTCCGTTTTAAATGAGATTTTGTGGAACGCAGATTTCTATTCAGCGGTCAGTGTGGTTATTTCTTCTGGTCGTTTGTCAATATTCTTTGCAAAAGGTCTGTCAAGATAATGGTATTCGCAAAACACGTCTTGGATCTTTCTAGGTTTCCACTCGATGCCGTCGGCTGGAATTCTTTTTCCAACCCTTTGCCACAGACACTAAACAAGATTTCGTTTTCGTTGGAGAAGCACGAAAATGCTGAAGTTCGTAAGCTTGCAGACCGGGTTTTCTTTCGTAAGACACTCTTTTAGGTGTTTCCAGCAGGTCTTCTGTTCATAGTTGTTTACTGCAGCTGGTACAGTTGCGGATAAAGCAACCATGTCCAAAAGCGTGAATGGTCGAAAATTCAACGAAAGTGAGAAGACACGATTATGGCTCCCAGACCGCAGCTCATTCGACAGGACCCGGCCACACCTTCAATCCTTTGTGCCAAACACTGTACTACATTTAGTTTTTGTTTGGGGGCATGAAACTGTTGATCGTCGTCTATTTTCCAGAAATTTTGCGGAGTTTTATAGACTTTCGCACTAGGTCTAGAAAGTAGGCACTTACAATGAGAAAAAAGCTAAAAACTCTGAAATAAGCTAATGAATGTTGTTCAGAACAACAATATTGGAAAAATTACCAGACTTTCCTATGTCAACGTAAGTCGCTGACAAGATTTAAACTCCTCGATTGATCGCTTTGCAGATTGGGCTCGCCAGATCAGTTTTGCTATCAACAATTCAGAAGGCAACACTGAACGCACAGACATGAAAATTATTTCCAAATTTATGGGTATTCTAGTCCCACCGAAGTTCTCTTCCTCCTCTGTCAGCATATTTAAATAGGCCAGTAGATATTCCGTGGCGTTGCTCACCGAAATATTTACGCAGCTCATGCCGTTTGGTTTGTTCATCAAATCAAATATTAACTCGTATGTTGGATTTAGCCGGAGTTCTCTTAATATTTGCATTTCAGGCTGCTTGAGTCGGAGTTTTCCCTTTATGAATTGAGCTCGTTCTTGTGCGTCCCTTTACTTCTGACTATGCAATGAAGCTTAACGCCGGATAAAGTTCATACATAACTTTGCACTGCGCAGTTACTCATTCTTTGAATTATAACCGGGGTTTGTCCTTTCTCTCGTTTCAGCAGGTGTGTTAGAATCCTTATTCCATCATTTTCAGATATTAGCACTTTACTGCACCACAGACGAGTTCCTCCAAAACGAAAATATTTTCTATATATACGAATAGCACGACAAACAACTCCAACCTAATATTTTAACAATGATCACATTTTTATATCAATTCATTTGACAGTTATTTAGCAGTACGTAACCCGTAAGCATCCCTTCTCTTCCGAAAATGGTAAGGAAATCGTTTACATGCTTACATCCTCGTCAAAAGCAAGGCCGTAATGTAAGCTTATGTTCACTACCATAATTTTCTATATCTGAGATTTTTAGTCAGCAGCATTGTTTTTGTTATCTTACAGGCGCCGCGCGAAAATAGCTGCGAACTACTTCTTACCACAAGGCTTTCTGACCTGTTGTGAAAAGCCACCACATCGAAGAAAATTTCAAAAAAGGATTTTGAAGAAATTGATGGCCACGTGTGTGCCTACGCATATAACAGAAAACTTGAGTTCGAAGACGGCAAATACATACGTCATTAACCCTCATCCGGTTTAGTTCTCTAGTAAAGGACGGTGATTATGTTGTGATGGCCGGGTTGAGCGATGAGAGCGGATTGTAAGGATGGGAGGATGCAGAATTATCCAAGATCTTCACCAATACGTTTGCCGGGGATCGTCAATGCGTTACCTATAAGTGCTTGTTAACAAGATATTTGTGCGAATGACAACGGGTCTGAATGGTATCGCCTACGTTACGTATACATGAGTGGAAATTGCCGGCCGTGTGACTGCGGAAGATTATCTTAATCAGTCTAAACTCGTTCAACGTCAGCCAAACCGCATCTACGATCCTGTACCGGCTTGACAGCTGCAATATCGGCTCTGCAAATGACTGCGTGTAACCCACATATAAGCCTTGATTCGGCGTTCGCGAGGGAGGACGTTCGCCGCGTGACCTTTTTAATGAGTGCGGTAGCGGTGACTTGGACGTGAATTAGTTCATTATGGTTCTGACTTGCGCCGCATCTGCCGCATTTTCTTCACCCATGTAATTTCGTCCCGATGACAAGTAAACTTCAAATAAATCGGAGGTGGGCGGAAACACGGCGGCCAACAAGGCCAAACAGCCAGCTGATGCGGGCCTCAGTCACGTCCTATTAGTGTATTCCAATCACGCATCGGTTTGCTTAGCCAATTCCACCTGAATCGAGCGGAGATTAGAGAACCAGTACCTACAGTCCCAACATATATCTGTCCCACCAACAGGAACGTTTGGCGAATACACGAGCGTATTCGGCCATCTTCTGTTTTATGAAAATCGCCAGTATACCAACATGGTCCGCAAACAATCACCACAACTCGCCATATCTGTGCACACACGCCTGCTCCCAGGCTGCTTATGAGCCTACTCCACAACATTTGCATTTACTTCACTTTTCCGCAAAACACAATGGTAACTTCATGCAGGTTTACTTATAACTACATTACTAGCGCCAGTATGGTGAACGAAAAGTAGCATATCAGGAAATGAACATTTCATTTAAGAGGGAGAATTGTCGTTTGGTCCAACCTCGTAAATAAAGTGAGAATCGAGTCGCGGGTAGTACGCGCAGAAAAACCGTTTGTTTTGTCGGCAAATACACTTAAACCCACTTCCAGTTGGATTGATATTTCCTCAACTCCATCACAAGGTACGTAAGGTTAGGTGTGTGACAGATGTTTCACATGCCTGAATCACCAGAAATTAATTCACGTATAATTTAAGGAGGTTCTGTTCACTCTGTGGGGTACGCGATGCACAACGTCGTTTGTAATTGTTAAAATGAGAGGGAAGACAATATTCCTGGGTAAGACGTCGCTTATGCAAAAAAGAACATAAAAAACTGAGTTTTGATCAAACTGTAATATCAATGACGAAGTTCCCTCAATATGTGCTGTCAACTGTGCTAGTTTCCGAAAAAAGAGTTAAGTTCACCGAGGTAGATAGCAGTGTTCAAGGCTCACGAGTTTCTTCATAGTTAACGCTTCATTAAATTAGTTATTAATCGCAAATGATAAAATATACACGCATATAACACAGCCGTACGACCGGGACACACGGGAATCAAAATTTCCAGTGGAGATGTTACATTGGTATAATAGATGTTATTATTAAGGAAAGATTAAGTGCAAAAACAAGCAAAGCGAGCTTTCATTGTGAGATTTCACGAGGTTACGTAGTAGAAATGTGAACACATAAACACGCATTCAAACGTTAGCACACAATACGCAAAAGGCAAGTAAGCAAAACAAACCTAGATTTTGGAGCTAGCATGCGAAGGATGGTACCGGTCATATGACCAGACGGCGGGCCTTTAGAAACCAATCGAAAATTCACAAACAAATTGCATGCATTAGATGAGCCATTAGTCTTCTTATCAGTACCTTGGTGTTCCTGCCGATGCAGAGATACTAGACACGAAAGTTTAGGCAATAGTTACAGTAGATGTATCAACTCAATAAATGTTAATCGCAATTTTGAAATGCGTTTTCGACTAAAAAGATTACTTAAGTAGGGTCGTAATATTAATCATCGTGCGGTATGATCATTTGA